CGTGTGTGTGTGTGTGTGTGTGTGTGTGTGTGTGTGTGTGTGTGTGTGTGTGTGTGTGTGTGTCAGGTGTGAGCAGAGGCACAGCAACATATGGGCGCGGCGACCCACAATCCCAAGCGAAGCAGGACACGCTTCAATGCCAATCCACACCAAGCCTACGCCTCCACAACATCCCCCTCCCATGATACCTGCAGGATGTTGCCGAGGCAGTAGCCGTGCTCCATGACTTCCGTGCAGTCATCCGCCGTGACGGTGTGGGCAGCAGTCTCAAACTTGGTCACCGTTGGCAGAATGGCGCCGCAGTAGCGCGGGGTGGCGCTGCCATCCACCCGGACACACTTCAAGTGCACGTCGTCGCGCGTGGTGGCGAATTGGTCCAGCGTGGCAAGCGTGGCGTTGAGGGGCGTGGTTGGCGCATTGTCGGCGACATCGGGCAGGCAGCCTGTGAATGTGTGTGTGTGTGTTTGTTTGTGTGTGTATGTGTGTGTGTGTGTGTGTGTTTGTTTGTTTGTTTGTTGCGGTTGGTTTGTTGCGGTTGTGTACGACGATAGGTGGGCAGTTGCACGGCCCAACTCGATCGACAAACGACAGAAGCATGACGGCACGAAGCACAGAGCTCAACCATCAAGGCATGTGCACACAAGAACACCATCAACACCACCACCACCACCACCACCAACAACAACAACAACAACAACAACAAACAGTCACGTCATGTAGCATACCTGCTGCCTCAAGCTTGTCGATTGCGTTGAAGATGACGCCGAGGCAAGGAGCACGGCACATGTCATCATACTGTGGATGGAGAACACGTGCAGGAGCAATCGGGTGAGGGAACGCATGTGTCCCTGGGACGAGGGCGCAGACGGGCAAAGGGTGGGGTGGGGGGTGGAAGGAAGGAACATGGATGGCCACGCGATTACGCGCACCCTTCGCAGCAACCGTACATTTTGCTTGCACACAAACACACAAAGCCACACACACACACACACACACACACACACACAAGCAATCCACCGCCACAACCATCAGCAGCAAAGACTCACAAATTCGTTGAGGGTCTGGTTGACACCGGGGGAGAACACGTCGTCTTCGGCCGACACAAACAGCTCAATGCATTGCAGTGACTCTGCGGTGAGTGCGCGGGAGACAGCGCTCTCGCAGTTGCTGCCAAGCAGTGTTGTCAGATATGCCCGGGCCTCCGTCAGGGTGGGGTCGCTCTCAAAGTAGTCTGTGGTGGTGGTGGTGGCCGCCGTGGTGGTGGTGGTCGTTGTGTCCGCAGAGCCGCAGACCTGGAAGCTGTTGTCCTCGCCAACCGTGCAGACGCACGTCTTGCTTCCGCTGCGGTCGTAAAAGGCGTAGGAGTTGGTGGTGTAGACGGATTGGCACACACCAAGGCAGGAGGCCGCGTCAGAAACCTGCAGCAGCGAACACGCCGCATACTGGCCGCGCACACCGCCGCTGAAGGCACTGTTGTCCATCGTGTGTGCGCGTGAGTGTGCGTGTGTGCGCGCGTGAGTGTGCGTGTGTGTGTATGTGTGTGTTTGAATCCGTGTGAGTGAGTGAATCAGTGTGTCGTGTGGAGGCAGCAAGTCCACGACACAACTCGTGCATTCGAATTTACATTCAGAAACTAAAGACTCGCGGCAACAAGCACACCAATCCATAACCAAGTGCGCGCACACACGCACACGCACACATGCACGCACGCACACATGCACGCACGCACACATGCACGCACGCACACAAACACGCACGCACACCACCATCAACTCACGCGATAAGGCCGATGAGGAGAAGAGAGAAACCAGCTTTGTTCATGACGGCGGTGGTCTTGCGTCCTGATGTTGCTGTAGGCGGGTGCGTGAGAGTGTGCGTGTGTGTGCGCGCGAGAGAGAGATTGAGTGTCAGATAGAGGGCGTCTTGTACTGGCGGTGGACTTGTTGGCTCAGAGGTTTGTTGGTGTCTTCGTATCCGTGTGTATGTGTGTGTGTGTGTGTGTGTGGTATCTGTGCCCACTCGCTTGCTTGTGTTGTTTCGAGTGTGTGCGTGTGTGTGGTGTGTATGTGAATGCGTCGAGGCTACCCGCCAGCCTAGCAACACCCTGACTGACAACAAATTAATTCACCAGCCGGGGCAACAAAAACAGCCAAAGCAACCACACTCGCACACACACACACACACTCGCACACACACACACACATTCACACATGACAACCAGAGACAGACATTCATGTCACACCGAAACGCCGCCAACCACCTGCGCCTGACGAAAACACAACTCAAATCGTCAGCCATCACCTCCACTACCACCGCCAGTCGCATCGAAGTGCGTCTTGATTTGCGGGAGGCGGACAAGAAGCCTCACCACAGAACGCACGTCGACACCCCAAACCCAATCGCACACCCAATCGCACACTGACATGATCGTGCAACAAGCGGCTGCGTCATCTCACACGCATCCATCGCACCTTCGCAGCTCCGTTTGATCGCGTAGGTTTGGTCGTCAGTCAGCCTTGTGGGCAAGCATTAAAAATGCATCAAACTAAAACAACGAACAATAAAAATGGGCAGTGTGGCTACTTTGTGCATTTTGACGGATCCAGGGTTCATGCGCTTGCTTCCTCGCGACTCCTTCGCTCCTTTTGCCCGACATCATAAATGCTGGTTGCTTTCTGCTTTGTTGGAAAACGAGTGCTGCAATTAATTGAGGCATTTTGTGCATTTGACTTTTCTGGTGGGGGCGTGGTTCTTGTGGGCTGCTTGCAGGCTTCTGGCTGCTGCGCCAAGCCAGCAAGCAAACAAGTTGTTGTGTGTTGTGTGTTGTTGTTGCACTCGAACGCGCGGTGCCTCTTATTGTCTCTGTGCTGCTGTGTGCTGCTGCGTGCTTCGTGTTGTGTGCGTGCATTTTCCATCAAAACGCCGCATCCAGACTGTGAGCAACACCAGCACTCCTGTCCTTGTGTGCCATTGCCACCTGCCTGCCTATCCCCCCCCCCAACCAACAAGCCATGAAGCTTGCCCTGCTCCTTGCTGCTCTCGTGGCAGCCACCTTGCTGTAAGTGGAGAAGCGAGAGAGGCTGAGGGAACGCTGTATGATAATGCTCCACTGAACACTCAGCCACATCACCTTCTCGCCGCTCTTTTTTTTTGTTGTCGCACAGTAGGCACTGCTGTCCTTGTGTTGTTGTTCTTGTTGTTTTTGTTTAAGTTGTTGTTGTTGTTGTTGTTGTTGTTTAAGTTGTTGTTGTTCTTGTTGTTGTTCTTGTTGTTGTTCTTGTTGTTGTTCTTGTTGTTGTTCTTGTTGTTGTTCTTGTTGTTGTTCTTGTGGTTGTTCTTGTGGTTGTTGTTGTGGTGGTGGTGGTGGTGGCTCGCATTTTGATCATTATTTACTTCCTTTCTTTCATTGTTGTTTGCGTGCTCACTGGCTGCAAACGACATCACCACAAACACACCAACACACAAACATACATGTACACACAAACACACACACCAACACACAAACACACACCTTTGACAGGTCGGAGACATTAGCGCTCGGTACATGCTCGTCCAATGGCATCACAAGCCAGTCGTCCTGCAACTCGCAGTGCTCGGGCAGAAGCAACTGCTTCTGCTCCTTTGTCGACTTCAATGGCGCCACCTGCTCCTGTGCCAGTACAAGCGGCTTCACGTTCTCCTGCACCGACATTGGCGGCAGCGTGGTGGACGACGACGATACACCGCTGTTTGGCGGCGACGACGATGACGACTCCATCTTCAACTACCCCTCGTGCAGCTCCGATGGCGTCACCTCTCAGTCCACCTGCGACAACAGGTGCTCCGGAAGCAGCTGCTTTTGCTACTTCACCGTGGTTGCCGGCGTTACCGCCTGCTCCTGCGCGGACTCCTCAGGCTCTGTGTACGTGTGCAGCGACACCTCCGGCGCCACAGGCTCAAGCAGCGGCGACGACGACTTCTTCTCTGGCTTCAGCGCAGATGACGACCTCTTCCCATTCGGTGGAGACGACGACCTGAGCATCCAATACTCAAGCTGCAACGCGGACGGCGTGAGGTCGCAGTCCTCCTGCGACAGCCGGTGCTCCGGCAGCAACTGCTTCTGCTACTTTGTCACGTACTCCGGCTACAACACGTGCTCCTGCGCAGACCTCTCGGGCTCCGTGTACGTCTGCACGGACATTCCTGGCGTGCCAACCAGCGCCACGAGCAACGACGACGACGACGCCCCAAGCTCCAGCCTTGTCACCGACGTCCTTGTGACATATCTCGGCGAGCGGTGCAGAAGCAGCATCAACAACGCCGTCAGCAGCTCCCTCATCAACTGCATCGCCAACGCCGACACGGAGCTTGCCGTGTTCAACGACGACGACTTTGCGGATGACGATGGCGACGACGGCTTCCCAACCCCAACCGAGCTGGACGGCATCTGCCGCAACCGATGCGTTGGCCAGATCTTCCGCAGCATCCAGCTTCTGCAGGCTGACAGCTGTCTCCCGACCATCAGCAACATTCCCTCGGTTGATGACGATGACAATGGCATCCTGAGTGGATTTGCCGAGTTTGCCAGCTTTGCGTCGTACAAGGACCTGCTGGGTCTTGCCTGCACGCAGGGCAACGGGGTGTACTGCTCGGAGGTGGCAGATGCCGTCAGCACCTTGTTTGATGATCCAGCAAACTTTGGTGCTGCCCAGTGCCAGATGATTGTTGGTGCAGGCAACTGCCTTGGCACTCTCCGTGCCGCCTTTGAGGTGTGCGTGCGTGCGTGCGTGTGTGTGTGTGTGTGTGTGCGTGTGTGTGTGTGTGTGCGTGTGTGTGTTTGTGTGTTTGTGTGTGGCGAATGTCAGTGCTTGTGCGTGATTGTGCATGTGAACGCATGCGAGCGTGTCATTGTCTGATCCTCTCGAAATGGTGTACTTGTGGCGATACTTGAGCGTGCATGGATTTGCTTGCCCACCCGACATTGCTGCTGGCATATCGTCGCATATCATGACTTACATGGCATGACATGCACCCACTCCTCCTCCTCCTCCTCCTCTTCTTCCTCCTCCTCCTCCTCCTCCTCCTCCTCCCCCTGCATGTACAGGCGAACCCGGACCTGTTTGACCTCAGCGGTGCTCTGACAGCTGACCTTGTGATCCAACAGCTCTCTGCCACGTGCGACACGTTTGGGGTGAGCGGTGTGACAGAGGCGGCCTCAGCCACCGAGGCCCCGTCGTCCATCGCCTCCAGCTCCGGTAAGCGTAGTGTTGTTGGTGTTGTTGGTGTTGTTGGTGTTGTTGGTGTTGTTGGTGTTGTTGGTGTTGTTGGTGTTGTTGGTGTTGTTGGTGTTGTTGGTGGGGTGGCTAGCCACTCGTGCGCGGGTTCAGTCTGGGCGTTGAGCGTTTGCAGTGTACTCTACGACACGCTGGTACTTACACACACACAACTACACGCGCGCGCGCACGCACGCACGCACACACACACATACACACACACACACACACACGTGCACACACACAAAACAGCCACCACGGTCTCTGGCGTCGTTGCTGCCGTCGTTACCCTGGCTGCTGCAGCCATCATGGCGTAAATTACGCCTCTCACCGCCGCTCTGCTTCGGCTGCGTTCCCGGCGTGTGCGCGTTTATTTCTGCTTTGTTTGTTTGGTTGTTTGCTTGCTCTCGGTGTCCTTCTCGCTGACCCTCGCATGTTGTGTCAGTTGATTTACGTTACCAAACACTTTGCCACGTGCTGTGTTTGCATGTCATTTGCTCCCTTTGTGCGGGGTGATGTTGCTGCTTTTGCTGCTGCTTGTCTTGCTTGTGGCCGCTGTTCATTCACCCCTTGCTCGTTCCATTTCTCGTCACACGACATGACGACAACGCGTTTGAGCATTTGTTCAATGATCTTGTTCCGAGAGAGAGAGAGAGAGAGAGAGAGAGAGAGAGAGAGAGAGAGAGAGAGAGAGACTGGAGGTGTTTGTTCACACACACACACACACACACACACACACACACACCACCACCACCACCACTGAGTCCTCCCCACTCCTCTTCGCTTCACTTTCTCCGACATCACAAAACTTACTCGTTCATGTTTTCCAACACATAAGAAAACGCGTGGGCGGTGCCCAACAAACAACTTTTTGGTGACTCCTTCACACAAATTTGTTCACGCCTCACGCCAGTGCCTGCAAGCACTGGCACTTGTTTTGTTTTGTTTTGTTTTGTACCTGGTTGCTGGGGGATGCTGTGCTGGAATGTGCGCTGGTGGTGGCGCTGGCTCGAGCAAAACAACACCAGCCAGCAAAGCCAGCCAACCCAGCCACAACAACTGTTTTGCTCTTGTGTGCTGTTGTGGTTTGTGTTTTGCGTGTGGCATTTTTCCATCCTTGTCGATCTCAGGTCTCCCCAACACACCTTGCTGCTACCTGACCACCACCCTCGGTTTTTCTTCCGCCCACCACCCATCCCAGGATGAAGCTTCTCCTCGCCGTGGCGGCCGTGGCTGCCCTTCTGTGAGTTGTGTTGTGTGTTGCTGTTGTTCCCTTTGTGGGTTGTATGCGGTCGTCATCATTCATTGTGTGTTTTGTTGTGTGTGGTGTTTTGTTTTGTGTTGGTCGGTGACACCCTCCCTGTTTCAACTCGCTGTTTTGGCCATTGGCTGTGGCGATCTTGCCATGTCACAACATCACCCCCTCTGTTCGTTGCTGTGTTTTGCTCCATAACAACTCTGGAGCAACCTTCTTCACTCACTTGCTTGCTGTCTTCCTATTCCCAATTCTCGCCCCCCACAACCCACCACCACCGCTGTCAGGTCTGTGGCTTCGGCCCAGACATGCTCCTCGCAGGGCGTGTCCGACTCGTCCAGCTGCAACAACAAGTGCAGCGGCCAGGGCAGCTGCGCGTGCGTTTTCACCGACATTATTGGCGCCACTTGCGAGTGCACGGGCACAGGCTTCATCTTCTCTTGCACCGACCTGGCCGGCAATGACGATTTCAGCTTTGGCGACGACGATCTCGTTGTCACCAGCTGCAGCGGCGACGGCGTCACCTCCCAGTCGAGCTGCAGCAACCAGTGCTCGGGCAACACCTGCACATGCGTCTTCGCGGAGATCTCCGGCTTCTCCACGTGCTCCTGCGCTGACGGCGGAAGCTACGTCTACTCCTGCAGCGACGCGTCCGGCACCATCAACGCTGACGACGACGGCGCACCCAGCGCAGGCAGCGTTGTGGATATCCTCACCCAGTTTCTCGGCGAGAGCTGCAAGAGCTCCATCAAGAGCGCCGTCACCAACTCGCTCATCAACTGCATTGCCGACGCCGGCTCTGAGTTCTCTGCCCTCAGCGACGACGACTTTGACGACTTGGACGATGATGCCTTCTTCACGGAGGAGCAGCTGCAGGACATTTGCAACAACGACTGCGTCGCGCAGGTGTTCCGGAGCCTGGCCATCCTCGAGGACGCCAGCTGCCTCCCAGACCTCAGCACCATCACCGGTTTCCTTGGCGACGACGATGGCGCCAGCAGCAACATTCTCAGCGGCTTTGCCCAGTTTGCCGGCTTTGCCGCATACCAGGAAACGCTCGGCCTTGCCTGCACGCAGGGAGGCGGTGTGTTCTGCGGCACCCTCATCGACGTTCTTGGCGCCATTTCTGCTGACCCCAGCGCCGTCACCGCCGCCCAGTGCCAGGCCCTCGTTGATGCCGGCAACTGCCTCGGCACCATCAAGGCAGCCGTCGAGGTGCGTGTTGCTGTTGTTGTTGTTGTTGTGTTGGGGGATGACACTTTGTGAGTTGGTTTCTTGTGAGTCGAAAAAACGTTGTGTGTCAATGCGTGTGCTTGTATTGTTCGCTTGGTGTGCGTTTGTTGTGTTTGGCGCCCTCGTGCCGGTCTTTCTTAGAGCCAAGCTTCGTTCGCGCCTTCGCCTCTATGCTTGCCTGTTGCGCGATCCATCACCCCGTTTCGTCATGCCTTGTGCTCACACGGGATGGTCGCTCGCGCTGCTTTCCGCTTTGCCTCGTGTGCTCTTCCTCCAGGTCAACCCTTCCATCTTTGGCGATGATGATGGCTTTGAGATTGACGTGAACGCGTTTGTTGGCAACATCAGCCTCGCGTGCAGCAACCAGGGTGTGAGCGGCGTTGATCAGGCAGCTGCTGGCACCGAGGCCCCGTCCTCCATTGCCTCCAGCTCCGGTGAGCGCAGTGTTCTTGTTGGTGCTGATGCCTGCTGTAGCGTGGCTGAGTGATGATGGTGATTGAAGCTGTCACCATAGCGCTGTCACTGTTGCACTGTTGCCTCGGGCGTTGGTGCCGTGCATGTGGCCTGCACGCTGTTACTCACATTCATTCACACACACACATACACACACACACACACACACACACACAGCCACCATGGTCTCTGGCATCGTTGCCGCTGTCGTTGCCGTGGCTGCTGCAGCCATCATGGCCTAAAGCCTGCCGACAACGAGGAACATGCATCAGGGCCTGCACGCGCGCTCAGCTCGCGTGCACTCCGCCCTTTCGCCTTTGTTCGTTGCATTGCCTCATTGCACTGAACCAACAACCCCCAACATTTGCGGGGGCCCACTCCTTGTGCTTACATCCCCACCTTTGCGTCCCCTGCAACCAACCACATGCCTCGATGCTCAGAACGACACCATCGTCGATGCTGTGACATGTGTGGCCTGTTGTTCCGTTGCTTTCGTCCCTCATCCCCCTACCAGTGTTCATCCACCCATTCATCCCCCTCCCCCTCTCCACACCTCATTAAACGGTCCAAGTCCACGCTCACTGCAACTTGTCATATGAAACGGGTGCTCATCACGGCGGTTATGTTTAACAATCGATTATGCACAAAGTAACATAACACTCACTCGCACAAACACACACACTCACCACACTCTCTTTCTCTCTCTCTCTCACACACAAACACGCACACAAATATGATCGCACATCAAGCGTTCTTGTCGTGCGTCTCCACACCGCGACTGCCACGTGCATAACCAACACCGGCAGCAGCCTCGTCAACAATCGCCGTCTCATCGTCATCATGTTCGTCATCGTCATCGTCAACGTCATCGTTCAACGCATGTGCCGCACCCACGTCACCACCGACTGATGCGCGCAATGACCAGGGCGACAGGAGCGACGCGGCAATGTTGCCCAAACGTCGCAGCGCGTGCGTCGGTGACACGCGAAAGTCATCAAAGAGAAAGGCGGCGGCACCAAGCGCAGGCAGCTGCAGCAGCATCACCACGCCAATGTGGAGGTCCCACCACAACGGCACGCTGTCGTGCGTCACGCGCGTCAGCCCTGCCCACACCACCTCAAACACCACCAGAACCACCCAGTACTTGAGCCAGCCCAGCAAGACGTTTGTCGCCCCGACAACACGGTCGTGGCGCGCGGTGGTGGTGGCGGTGGTGATGTCACTGCCGCGTCCATCCTGACGATCGCGGCGACGACTATGCACGTGACCATCGTCGTCGCTGTCACCACCAACGGTACGACCATCAGCATCAGCAGCATCAGCAGCATCAACGGCACGTGCGGCGTCAAGGGCGAGGTCTGCGTGTGAGAGGGCGCACGTGGTCTTGTACGCCGGGTACATGTAGGCCACAAGCACTGCCGCAAAGCGCGTTAGGAAGCGTGGCGAGAACACCGCTGGCAGCGCAATCAGAAACACGGACGTGTCCGTGAACAGGGCGCTCAGTGCCATCAGCACACGCTGCACGCGCGTGGGCACCACCATCTTGGCCACGGCCCACAGCGGCGTGACGTATGCAGCGAGCACGTGCTGAAAGCGACGGGAGGCCGGCGATGCCACAGCCGTCGTAAACACGTGATTGCGCAGCAGCGAAAACACAATGCGCGTGCCGCCAATCAACGGGGCAACCAGCCACAGCAGCAGCGTCATGTGTGCCACGTGCGCATAGGGCAGCAGCGCGTACGCCGTCGACGACAGCACGGGCACGCGCGAGCACGTGGTGAGCACACCAAAGCACACCCAGTACTCCAGCCACCGCACAACCACATCCACACGCCCAGCCTCTGCTGCCGCTGTTGTGTGTGAGGTGGTGTGACCATCGTTATGGCTGCGATGGTGAGTGGCCACACGGCGTCTGACCCCAGAGGACCCACCGCTGCTGCTGGTGGTGGTGGGACTGTGGCTGTGGTTGCGTGTTGAGATGCGACCGTGTGAAGGTGTCGGAATGCGCAGGCGCCGCGAGTGGGGCGATTGGAACACTGCGCCGTTGCCGTTGTCGTTGCCGTTGCTGGCGTGATGCGTGTTGTCTGCGTCGGTGTCAGTGGTGCCACTGCGGCTGAAGAGCGAAGCGAGCATGCTGCGGCGACCCCGGTTCGCAGCGTCAGGTTGCTGGTGCACCTGTTGATGGCGGGCAGACGGCGGCGGCGTTGCCGGCGGCGGTGCAGCAGCGGCAAGAGCGCCCTTGGCTGCAGAGCTGTCGAGCTGGGTCTGCAAGGCGGTGGTGACGTGTGTCAGCGTCAAGGTGTGAGCGGTTTGCTGTTGTTTGTTGCTATTGGTTACTTTTCGTTAGGGGGAGGCAGGGGAGGGGGGATCGAAGCAGGTGAGGCGCGCCGTGCCGACAGGCATGCAAGCACCAACGCACGTACACATTTAGGGTGCGCATGTGATGTGCACACAACGTGTATACACGCACATGTGCAAACATGAACACGGAACAAACGTTCGCACACACACGAACAGCGTACACACAACTACAAACGCACATGTGCACACATGTACACGGAACACACGTTCGCACACACACATGTACAAAATACACACACACACACACATGCGCGCACATGTACACCTTCGCCGCGCACATACGCACGTGTACTCACCGGAGCAGGAACAATGTCCTCAATCTGCACGATGGCGGCGATGGACATGCAGGTGGGCCAGACGCGTGCAAGCACGTCTGCTGCAAAGGGCCAGTCCATGAACCGCAGCACCGTGTCAAAGGTGAGAGCATAGCCCCAAACAACAAAGAAGGAAATGGGCGGCAGCAGCGCAGCCACCACGCGCGACTGCCGGCGCACGCGATCCAGGAACCGCCGATACGCCGCCGCGGCACGCTCGGCACGCCCCATGGCCAATCGAACGTATCGCCGCACCAGCGCCATCAGCCGGCGCGTGGCCCGCACCATGAGGCGCGTGGCAATGTACAGGAGCACAAGGCCGGCAAGCGCGGCCAGCACCAGCGGGTTCTCGTACAGGAACAGCGCCAGCGCCCACGCCAGTGTCACCAGAACACGGACCCATGCCATAAGCGCATGCTGTGTCGTGTGCACGGCGTGTGTCAAGTCACCGCACGCACCCTCCCCGACGGCATCCTCGTAGTACCGGCACGCCTCCGCGGGAACGTCCTGCACGATCGTGGACATGGAGCCTGCCCACAGCCATGTGTCGCTCACAGCCGCTTGCAGCACCTCCACAACACCATCCGCAGCCATCGTGTGTGTGTGTCTGTCTTGGTGTGGTTGTTCCGTTTTTTTGTTTTCAGCTGCGGTGCTGACTGTGCAGTTTTTTGCTTGCCGGAAAATTTGCGAAAGGCACATGTGTTATTGGCGGAGGAGAAAAAATTGGGCTTCGCCGATAGCACGCGCTCAAATGTGCCTTTTTCCTCGTTTTGCCAGGTGAGCATGGCGGAGATGAGAGACAGGAGCATGATGCGAGCGAGAGAGCCAGCCGTGTGCGTGTGTGGAAGGGATATGGGAAGAGGCAGCTGCACGCGTGCGCCTGTGGTGTTTGTGCTGGACGATGGGCAGACAAGGGCATGGTGCTAGCAGCAGTGATTGGCCCCAACAGGCAGAACAATAACACCAACACCAACCACACCAGTAGCAGCCCCACACGTGTGCCTGCGTGCGTGTGTTAGTTTGTGTAACCAGCCTGGCTGTCGTGATGCCGCATGCGACATCAGCCACAATCAAGCGACACTTTTGTTCTCGTGTCTTGATTCTCGTACCTTGATTACACCCAGGAATTACACGCACACAAACACACACACACACACATGCACACTTTTACAACACGGGATTTGCTGCTTTCACCTCACCACCTCCACCTCCACCATCACCACTGTTGGTTTTTCTTTGTTGAAGCAGCCACCCTCGTCTTCCTTCTTCGTCTCCGACGCTGCTGACAAACACCAGTCATGGGCAAGCCCCACGGAATCCGTACCGCACGCCGTCTGCGTGTCCACCGCCGCAACCAGCGCTGGCACGATCTTGAGTACAAGAAGAAGCATCTGGGTACCGCCCTCAAGGCCAACCCCTTTGGTGGTGCTTCCCACGCCAAGGGCATCGTCGTTGAGAAGCTGTGCGTTTTGTGTGTGTGTGTGTGTGTGTGCGTGCCATTCGCTTATGTGTGCGTGTGTGTGCGTGCGTTCGTGTTGTGTGCTGTATGCTTGCAATGTGCAAAGCGTCAAAGCTGTACGGTGATGGACCGTTTGGTGCATGCCTTTGACTGTGGTTGCATTTCCCCCGAGAGTGTCCACATGCATTCTCTGTGGGCAGTTGCTGCGCCCATGCTCTCGCTTCACTCGCAATGGCGTGCAGTCATTCTGTATCATGTCACGCTACCGCCTGCTCACACGGTCGCTTCCTGCCTGCTACTCCTTTTACTCTCATTGACAGCGGTGTCGAGGCCAAGCAGCCCAACTCTGCCATCCGTAAATGCGTGCGGTAAGCTGAACGACCATAGTAGTCGTGCTTGTCGCCATGCAATCTGCTTCGTGCGCCACATTCAATTTACCTGCACCAGCTGCCGCAGCTCCATGCATTCAATGTCACGCACATGCGCACACGAACATACACACACGCCTGCGTTTGTGCTCCTTGAAGCCATGACGGTTTTTTTATCTCACACCACGTTCATTCCCATGTTGCTTGCACTACCTCCACCCACCACCAACAACAGTGTGCAGCTGATCAAGAACGGCAAGAAGATCACAGCGTTCGTGCCCCGTGATGGTTGCCTCAACTTTGTTGACGAGAACGATGAGGTGTGTTGTCTTGTGCATATGTTTACGTGTGGCTGCGTGACTGCGCTCGATTGCGACGAATTTGACCGCTTGATACACCCTGCTGACGCTTGTGTTTGATGGCTTGATTGTCCACCTTGGTCACTTTGGTTCCATGCAGGTGCTTGTGTCTGGTTTCGGTCGTAAGGGTCATGCCGTCGGTGATATCCCCGGTGTTCGCTTCAAGGTGCGTGTGAGCGTGTGTGGGTGTGGGCGTGTGTGCAGATGCGTGGCTGCGTGTGGGTATTGCTGCTGTATCGCCACTGCCGTTGCGCCCTTCAACGCATGCCCGTGTCCACGTCTCTTCCCTCTCATGTTTCTTCCCTGCTCCTCGTTCCCTGCAACACTTGCCCCACCCCCACTCATGCTTGGGCACCTCATTCAACTGTTGCGTCACTAGGTGTGCAAGGTGTCCAACGTCGCCCTCCTCGCCCTCTACAAGGAGAAGAAGGACAAGCCCCGTTCTTAAGCGAACAGCAGCACCACAACACCAACAACAACACCCAAACCAACCCTCGCTTGGTCCCTATTCGTCCCATATCTCTTTTTCCCCTCAACACACATGTGCTGACTCGACCTGATTTGTCTTGTCAGTCGCTTTGATGCCGCATGCACGCACACACCCCTGTGCCGCTGCCATCGCCATGTGTTTGTCATTTGATCAATGAATGAAATGGCACAAGTTTACTGCCAAGGGAGAGCACAGAGAGAGAGAGGGGGGGGGAGACAGTGTGTGTGTGTGTGTGTGTGTATTTGTGTGTGTGCGTGTGAGAAATAGCGAGTTTGTTTGTGCGAGTGTGTGAGTGTGTATCTCATCACCAAAAAGGTGAAGCAAAGCAAGCTCGCCAGAAAGCTTTGTCGTCGTTTGGGTGGTTTTAATGTGGACTACATACACGACTCAGGGAAACGATGGGGACTACGGCTATGGCTGTAAGCAGCGTGGCTGCCCGCATGCGCTGTTGCCCACAGGCAACGCAGCAAAGCGGCGAGCACACAACACCACAGCCACAGGCCAAAAGCAAACGCAGCAGCTACAAACATGTACAAAGAAGACACCAAAAGGAAGAATAGCAGCAGGTAATGCGACACATGCTGGCGCACAAGGATGTGGGTGCCATGACGCAGGTTTCGCGACAAGCACACACACATGAACAACGCCGAGCACATGCCAACAACCATGCGAAAACACAAAAGGAGGACATGAAGGGTTCGTGTGAACAGAGTAAGCACGGGTTGGTGGCGCCGCGTAGAGCACGCTGCCAACAACAGATGAGGCATGCCGCGACAGTGAGAGAGAGGGGGGGGGGGGAGGGAGGGAGGGGACAGCGAAACAACGCTGGAAAAGGAAACTTGCGGTGGTCATCGTGGTGGTGTCACTAAAATGTATTGTGGCGCATGAGGGCGCGGGTCAACTGAAACGCGATCACATCAGAACATCGTGCTGCGACACGCGACGAAGAAAGCACGACGATGGTCAGTCGGTGCCATTCGCGGCTGCACGATAGACATGAGGAGTGAGACGTGAGGTGGGGTCCCGGTTTACATGTTGCCCTGCTTGGCCGCCTTCTTCTTGTTGAGCAGGCTCTTGTGGATGTGGGGGATGACACCTGTTGAAGAAGCGAAGGAAAGAAGAGTGAGGCCGGGGGGAGGGTAAGATTTGATTGAGAGTTTGTTCGGGAATGGTGGAGACAAGTTGGTGAAAGGAAGGAGTAGTCACAGGCAAGAAGGAAGCAGTAAATTGGGCCACTTGACAATGGAAACTGGTGAACACACGAGAGAGCGTGCACACACACACACATACGCGCGCGCGCGGGAAAGCGCGGCAACGCACCACCGCCGGAGATGGTGGCCTTGATGAGGCCGTCCAGCTCCTCGTCACCGCGGATGGCGAGCTGCAGATGGCGCGGGTTCACGCGCTTGGCCTTGAGATCCTTGCACGCGTTGCCCGCAAGCTCAAGCACCTGTCGCGTGTGTCAAGTGTGTGGTGAGGTGTGTGTGGGAGGGGGGAGGTGGAGGGTAAGAGAGGCAAGGGCACGGTCGCGCAGCATTCCACCAAACACACACACACACACACGCACGCACGCACACACACACACACACACACACAAACACAAGGCGCGCATGTGCGCACCTCAGCGGTGAGGTACTCGAGGATGGCGGCTGTGTACACGGCGGCGGTGGAGCTGACGCGGCCCCGGTGTGCAACGCGCTCCTTGAGGTGGCGGTGCAGACGACCAACAGGAAACTGCTCACAGCAACCGGCGCGATTGTGAGCTTTCAGTGGTTGTTGTGGTGGTGGTGTTGGTGGTGGTGTCGTTGTTGTTGCTTGCGTGGGAGCAATCGTTCGCAGGTCATACGTCCATCGCCACACCAACGCAACAGCAAGATATGCAAGCTAACAACACACGCACACGCGTAGTAGACAGACGGACACACCTGAAGTCCGGCACGTGTGGAGCGGGAGATGGCCTTCTGGCTCGACTTGCTCTCAACCTTGGCTTTTCCGGCAGGCTGTGTACGTGGACGTGTGTGTGTGTGTGTGTGTGTGTGTGTGTGTGTGTGTGTGTGTGTGTGTGTGTGTGTGTGTGTGTGTGTGTGTGTAAAAATGTGCCCCATTTTGTTAGCAGAGCGAAAGGAACCGGGGCTACCCACTCAAACAAGCAAGCAAGCAAGCAAACAGAGAGGGACGCCTTGCCTCTCTCCAGAACCCATCTTTGGCTTCTGTCACACCACACCACACGACGGAGCCGAATAAGCGGCCATGCACAAAGCCAGCATACGCGCCAAATCGCACACATGTACGCACACATGCACGCACACATGTCCACCAAGAGAAAACAGAGCTGTATCACCCACCATTTTGGCGGTGTGGTGTGTTGATTGGCAAGGGATACGTTCCTTTGGCTATCAATCAAACCATACAAGCAGACAAGCAAATAAGCAAGCACACCGTGTGCGCGTCGCATGCACACATAAACGCACACACACACACGCATGCACACATCAACACACACATGCACACGCACACACACGCACGCATGCAAACACACACACACACCTTGGTTGCTGTGGTTTGTGTGGGTGTGAGGCGGCAGAGAGAATTGTAACGGTGGTGAGTGCGCAAGTTGGTGAAGGTTGAACTGAGCCCGGCACAAGCAAAGCAAAAACAACAAGCAAAAAGGGCGCGCGAAATCCGTTGCACACCAACACACAGCGATGCAAGCAAGCAAGAACCCACAGCATCGACAAGGGAGTGTGTGCACATACTGTACTTTGCGCGTAACGGTCACACGCACGCACACACACACCCACAAGCACACACACACACTCTCTGCACCTTGTTTGCCCTCACACTCCAACAACCGCGCCAAAAACCACACCAGGTCAACGAATGAACGAACGAACGCTCTCTCACCCACCTCCTCGCTTGCTTGCTTGTTGATCGTGTTGGAAATGATGGCGGCAAGCAACGCAGCATTACGCCAAGCAAGCCAAGAACAAAAAAAAAAAAAACAGCGCGCCATTTCACCGACACCACGGAATCATTACTGAAATTATGGCGAATTCACGTTGCCCGCTGCAAATCCCAGCCAAAATTATACGTTCACTGATTGATGATTCGATGCGGCATTATGTTAGCGCATCATAACTAGACACCACAAAAGTTTGCGTCCGAAGGACTTCCATCTGTCTGCTGCTGCTGTTGCGACCATCCACAACCAACTCCCCATTATCTCCGTCTTGTGTTCTGTCTTCCGTCTCACCCTTCTTACATCCTTGTGTTTCCCTCTGTCAGAGACCCCCCCCCAACAATGGCTGCGGTTGTGAGTGTGATCACGGCAACAAGCAACAGCGGCAGCGCCTGTGTGGAAGAGCTGCTGCGGCTCATCCACAACCCCAAACATGGGGAGCAAAAGCACGCGGTGCAGGTGCGAGCGTGTGTACGGTCTGAGAAACAGAAACGCGACCTCCTGCAACACGGGTACCAGCAGTCGCCTTCAGCCGTGACAGTGACGGCGGGCGTGGACGCCCTGGCCCCAAACACGCTGCCCCCTGCGTTTGAAGGGGCGAGTGTCGCTGTCATTGTCACGCCCATGACGCCGCAAGGGTTCGACAAGGACGCACAGGCCACCGCCAACATGGTAAACGCAGCCGTTACCGCCGGTGTCAAGCACATTGTCTACGTCGGCTCCTGGACCGTGCACCAGCCGGCGCGCCTCTCGCTCCTCGCCGCACGCTTTGCGCCAACGGAGCAGCTCCTCCACAAGCTTGCCGACGACGTCGGCATCACCTGGACATCGCTGCGCTCAGGCTACTTTTTCAACAACTTTGTGCACGTGCTTGGTCCGGCACTCAAGCAGCATGCCACAACGCCCATCACCGTCCGGTTCCCCGCCATCACCGTCCCCGCGTGCGACCCTCGCGACATTGGCCGCGTCGCCGCACACGTCGCCATGGACCACGCCACCTCGCGTCAGGACCACCACGCCCGCTGCTACGACATCAGCGGGCCCGAGCTGCTGCCCATGCGCGAAGTCGTGCGCCGCGTGGAGGCAGCCGTCCTGCCGTTGCCCGGTGCCAGTGATGCCAGCCACGCCGGCGACGCCAGTGATGCCAGTCACGCCGGTGATGATGCTGACCAACCATCATCCACGGCCTCGGCAACAACGCCAGCAACAACAGCGACAACAGAGACAACACGAGGAGCACTGCGCTTGGCGTACGAGCCCGTGCCGGCTGCGGCGCTGAAGGGCGTCGTGCCAGAGTACCTGCATCAGCTGCTGGTGTATCTGGAGGAGGAAGGCGAGCACGCGGTGCCGCTCAGCCGCGACGTCGAGACCGTCACTGGCCAGCCACCGGTCTCCCTTGACACGTGGCTGCGCACTCGTGCCGCTGCACCCTTGCACGACGCCCTCCACAGTGCCACCGGGCATGTGGAACAGAAACACAACAACGATGACGCCCAGACCGACACCAACAACAACGATGATGACAATGATGGCGTTGACGACGACGTGTTGTAACAGTAATGGTGATGGAACCAAAGCATTTATCATCTACTGCATCTGTGTCTCACTCAACGTCTATGACCTTGTTGTTGTGCATGCTGGACAGGGACAACCGTCCACCCCACCCAACCCCAATCATTCTCCTTCCAAACTAGCTGTTGTTCCTCCTTGTTCACCCTGAAACCCTTGCCCCCCCCCCCTTTGTTTTGCTGATTAAACTCGCAAGCACACAAGCCCCGGTGGCGTGTCATACTTGTCTGTGTTGTGTCTTTCTGTTTATGTTTCCAACGCAAGGGTGGTCACGCACATTACACCACACACGCACAAACACTCTCGAGCACACTCGCACACTGCTCGGGACGAGGTAGGAAAAGTATCCACATACACAAGGCAGCACACGTAAGAACCTGCCAGGAGAACTGATCACAATTCATCAACACAACACAGACAAATACAGCAAAGGACCAACACGCACATTGACAAACGAATGCCACCCTCGAGGCTGCACGCACGCACGCACGCAAGCAAGAGGGCACAGGGGAAGGTGACAAAGTTACAGGTTGTGGAGTGTGGTTGAAGTAGTCACTGCAGCTGCAGCGTTGTCTACTTGCTGGACACATGGCCATTATGCGACAGTGGAGGAGGACGTGGGGTCCGTCATCACAAGTGGGCACAGCTGGCTGCTGCCAGCAGGGCGCGCACTGCACACGTGCGTGTATGTGTCATTCAGGTTGTCCGTCACAAGAAGTTGAGCAGAGCCGGTCGAGTTGTCTGCAATGGCAAAGTAGTCGCCACCGTAGGCGCCGTCAAACAGAGGGACCGTCCAGAAGTCCTCCATGTCTGTCGTGACGTTCTCGTACGAGGCAAGGCCGCCGTCAGCGTAACCGACACAGCGAACCTCATTGCCCTCAGGCGCAGAGATGCCAAAGGTGATGAACTCGTACACAACCTGCGCCTCGGGAGTCTCCACGGTCGGGCACTCAAGAGTAGTCGTCGTTGTGGTTGTCGTGGTCGTTGACGTTGTCGTCACAACATAGTCGCAGTTGCGATCAGCCGTGTTGGCAGCACAGAACCGGCTGTGTGTGGGGGGGGGCGGGTTGCGAAGCAAATTGGTGAGTGACTTGTCATTATGGAATGATGTGACCCACTTGTTAATTGCCCACAAACAACCAAGCCGTCGACCTCCACAAGCATGACATCAAATCCATCACAAACAACACACACACACACACACACACACATGAACAGAGCACACGCGGGCTGCTGTTGAAAACTCACTAGCACTCAAAGATGTCCTGGATCTCATCGAAGGTCGTGGACGAGGTCACGTTGCCGCACTCGCACGAGTACAGCTGGTCACGCGCAGACACAGAGTAGTGGCTGTACGACAGCATGCAGTCCGCAAACGTCTCAAAGTCGGGGGAAGGCCAGCTCTGCAGCGGCAGCGGAGGGGCGGGGACGGGGAAACGGATGATGGGAGGGATGAGCAACAGGTGGGTGATGAGTCAAGGCGGGAGGAGGAAATACAGTAAAGGAAGCCCAGGAAGACAAGAAGGACAGCAAGACAACGATTGGCAGCATGCACACGTAAACACACTGACTCACCCTGCCAATGCACGTGTTGATGCTCATCTCGCAATCCGCAATGCAACCAATGTGCGTTGTGGTTGTCGTGGTGGTGGTGGTTGTGGTGGTCGTCGTCGTGGTGGTCGTGGTGGTGGTCGTTGTGGTGGTCGTCGTCGTTGTGGTGGTAGTGGTTGTCGTGGTGGTGGTGGTGGTTGTAGTTGTGGTAGTTGTCGTGGTGGTAGTAGTCGTCGTCGTCGTCGTCGTGGTGGTGGTGGTGGTGGTGGTAGTCGTCGTGGTGGTCGTGGTGGTAGTAGTGGTGGTGGTCGTGGTTGTGGTAGTGGTGGTAGTAGTCGTCGTGGTGGTCGTGGTCGTGGTCGTGGTTGTAGTTGTGGTCGTGGTAGTTGTGGTCGTGGTAGTGGTCGTGGTGGTCGTCGTCGTGGTCGTCGTCGTGGTGGTGGTGGTAGTTGTGGTGGTGGTAGTCGTCGTCGTTGTGGTAGTTGTCGTCGTCGTTGTGGTGGTGGTAGTTGTGGTGGTGGTCGTCGTCGTTGTGTCGTAAGCAACGCGAGCACTCAACACCGTGCACCGGTTGAAGCGGAACAGCGTGTCTGCGGCACATGCGTCAATGTCGTCAACATGGGCCTCGTTCAGCGTGTACGTGCGGAACAGGTTGTATGCAACAACATCAATCGTGTCGCTCGAATCACCGTTGTACCGGCACACCTGCACACATCCAACACAGCGAAAAGAGGAGGGAGTGTGTGCGTGTGTGTAAGAGAGAAGAGTGAGTGAGTGTGAGTGTATCATGTGTGTGTGTGCTTAGTGTGCACGCAGCTACAAGTACACCTCACAAGTGAGCCTCAGCTATTCCACGCAACGCATAGCAGGCACACACACACACACACACACGCAGGGCACAGCACAAGACTCACGCGGCCAATGTTGCAGTCCTCCGCAAGCGCCTGCTTCCACTTGGCGCCAAACTCATCGAGGTCTGCCTCGTCCTTGTCCGTCATGTTCTGGCGGTTGCACTCAACCTCAACCTGTGATTGAGGAGGAGGTGAGTGACAGCATGTGACTGAGTTGCACACACATGCGCGCATGCACGTTCATACACAGAGTGTACACGTGTCAAGGCGCAGGGCTCAAAATATGTGCAAACAAGCCCTCACACACACACACACACACCTCCATGATGGTCTCGAAGACGGTCTGGGTGCAGTTGGTGATGGCTTGGCAGGCACTGCTGATACCACCGCCCTCAACCGTGCACGGCCACACCCGAACGCAGTCTGTCGTTGTGGTGGTGGGGGGGGTGATGACAATAGCAGAGGGTTGTGAGGTCATGGGCAAACTCGTGTTGTGCTTGCTTGCAAGCAAAACGTGTGCAGGGGTGCATGCACGCACGCTTGTGGCTTCAAGCAGGTTTGCTGCCACGGCACCACCACAGCCTTCCATCACCCTTCACGAACACCACCACCACCACCAGCCACCACCACTACCTTTCACCAACAATCTTCACTTCACGACCATGACTCACTTCCGTTGTCGCAGCCATCCGTAAACTGGCGGCACTGGCAGGTACCACCTGCGTGTGGTCAACCACGCAAGTCAGTCAGTTAGGCAGTCAGTGAGTCATTCAGCCAGTCAGTCAGCACCACCATGGCTATTATCAGTCCAAGCAAACCAAGCCAGCAAGACCAAGGCAACACGAAACAAGCAAGACCAAGGCAACACGAAACAAGCAAGACCAAGGCAACACGAAACAAGCAAGTAAGACCAAGCAAGCAAGAGCACTCAGACACACATGCACGCACATGCACACACATGCACAATCTTATTCACACTCACCAACAGAGCAGCGGTCGCGGGTCAGACCCGTCGCGGCTCCGCCCTCAAAGTAGTAGCCAGCGCTCGAGTCAGTCAGCTCCGCACAGTTGTCCAGGTTCTGTGAACGTAATAAAACCACCGTCAACGTGAGCACCGTCACAGCAGCAGCACAGCATGCGAGGAATGCAAGCATTGCATTGGATGCGTGCATGACAAAGCGGCACAGATGACGACGGCAATGCCTGCAAGTGCAAGCAAACAAGAGCTGAAACAACACGGCCATACCACGGTGTTGAGGAACTCCGTGGAGGTCAGCTCATCGCCAAGCACAATGCCTTCCGGTGGGCTTTGCTGTGGTGGGTGTGTGTGTGTGTGTGTGTGTCAGAGAGAGGGAGAATGTGGGTGAGTGAGCGAGAGAGTGAGAGTGAGAGACGAGAAAACACTTGAACGAGAAAGCATTCGCAATAGGGGAGGAGTGTTGCACCCACATGCGCCTGCGTTCACACACACACACACACACACACACACACACACACACACACACACACACACACACACACACACACACACACACACACACACAAAACGCGCAATGCACACAACTCAAGACAGACACACGGCTGACCAGACAGACAGGGCAAAGTCAACTAACAAGCCCAAAGCAAGAGACACACAACCAGACATTCATTCACACACACTCACACACACAGCGACATGCATTCACACACACACACAACGAGACATTCACAACCAGACATTCACACACTCACATTCACACACACGCACATTCACGCACACACACACACACATCGAAAACAACTCACAGCGTTGGTGAGAGCGCAGAGGCCGGCCAGGGCCACCACAGCAAGCACGCACAGGGCGGCCTTCATCGTCGTCGTCGATTGGTTGAAGAAGAAGAGAGAGAGGTTGAAGGGCACAACAACACCAAGGTCTGTGGCAGGAGCGAGAGAGAGATGGTTGGGAAAATGCGTTGACTGGTTGGTGCACAACACTCATTGGCTTGGGGGCTCGCAGTGCGGCTTGCTTCTTGGCATGCCAGGTGCGCGTGTGTCGGCCAGTCCCGTCGTTGTGGTCGTGGTTGCTGGGCGGTCGTCAGTCATTGTGTTGCCTGCATGCACCAACGACGCCTCGAAACAGGACGTTTTACACGGCAACTTCACAATTCGAGGCGTCGTTGGCATTCGAGTAAAAAGCATTGCATAGGCAATCCTAGAGTGCCCATCATTCATTGAATTGTTTTGCTGATGTCAGCAAGAAGGAGGAGCAAAGCACGAAGGAGCACAGCACTTCCTTTGCCGCCAACAACTCAAACCGTGAGCAGGTTTAAGGGTTCAGAGCAACGTCTGCTATTTTGTGCGTACATGCGCGCGCCATGTGTTGTGGTGTAGTCTGTAGTGGTGTGTTGCGTGCGCGCGGTTTGTGTGTATGTATGTATGTGTGCTTTTGTGTTTGTGTGTGCCTGTGTGTGCCTTCGTGTCTCCATAAGAGATGTGGCGCGTTTATGTTGTTGTCTCACATCACAAAAGCATTCTCTAAAAAGTTCACCATGATGTGCCGAAAAGCAGAGAACTGAACACAACACAACACATGAGAAAAGCAGCCCAACACACAGCACTGTCCCGCACATCAGTGAAGGAAAAGCGCATCAAAGAGTGCATGGGTTGCTGAAAGTGACTTTGTGCTCGCCTTCTCCTTCGTGGCACGCTCAAATGCAAGCAACACGGCATCAACGGACTTGTCGTTTGCGAAGCGGGCGCTTCCGTGCTCGTGAATGTTGAATGCCGGGTACAGCAGCACAAGCGTGGTGATGGTCTTGGCGGACCAATGGGGCGGGGGCTTGTCGCCGAGCTTGAGGTTCACCTGCTTTGTGCGCTGCCACACCTTGAGCAGCTCCAGTGCCCTTGCACACGTCGGTCCATGTAGGTTGTCTGGGAGCTCGCCCATGTTCTCCCTAAGATCTTGGTAGAAGCGCTTGTTCTCCGCCAGCCCGCCCGAGAGGATGGGAAAGATGCGTTTGATCTTGTGCGCGCGGTGCAGCTCAAAGGCGAGGATCAGCTCGAGCAGGAACATGTGAGTAGCACCGCTGCTGCTGCCACCACCGTCGCCATCGAGTTCGCCGCCCGTGCGCGCGGCCACATCTGCCAATGACCCCACGGGCCGGGCCGCCGTCGAGGAGCTGATCTCAGGGTCCACGTTCTTCCGCCACCACGACAGAACCGGCACGTACAGGTCCGTGTGCAGCAGGGGGTGGTCGTTCTCCGCGTCGGTGTGAACGGGATCGTCGGCCTCAGGCTGCTTGCCTCGCCAGCCCACCGAGAGCGCGTGCGAGCGCGAGAGGAAGTCGCCGCTCTTCAGCCGAATGTTTGTCGCGAGCAGATTCTGCAGCTCAGCATCATCTTTGCATGAGCTCACAAACACGTTCCAGCGGCCAATGTCTGCCTTGCGACGCAGTTTCCTGCGCACGACCGAGATGAGCAGCGTAATGAACGTCAAGATCCACAGCGTCAGTACAGCGGCATTGAGGAAAATGGTGAAGGTGGGAATGACAAACTCGGACGCCTTCACCGTGAGCAGCAGCGTTCCTTGCTCAGCAAACACCGTGGAGAAGCTTCCCGCTGTGGCCAGCGTGGCCAGAGCGACGAGCACAACACGCGCAAGGGCGTTTGGCGATGCACGCAGTCGCAGCAGCTGCGCCACGGACAATCGGCCGCTGCCAAACTCAAGCTGCAGCCACACGAGCAGGAACAGCAGGTGCAGAGACAAGTTCCCCGTGCCCCAGAAGCGGACTTTGATCACCGCGTCCAAGTATTTCAGATCCTCTCGCTTAAACTTGGACGGGTTCCCCGCTTCCTTGAGCACCACTAGGCAAGGCAGCGTTGCGTAGGCAAACCCAACAAAGAAGCACCACAGGAACACCTGCACAATCAGCACGGCCATGGAAAGGCCAGTCGCGCGCAAGATCTGGTGCCTCACTGTGTCTGGGTGCTCCTGCCGTGAGCGAAACAGCACGCTGTCTTGTACGTACTGCAGCAGGAGCACAAATCCATGGACGAGGGCCAAGGTGCCTATGCCCGCAAGCTTGAAAAATGTGGTCCAACCCGACCCGAAAAAGATCGCCACCACACCGTATGTCGTGCACAGCGTGAAGAAAAACAGCACCCATTGCGGGGTGGTGGCACGCTTCCTGCCCTCGCGCCTGTAGCCCAGCCAAAGAAATGACTGCACAGCCCACCGCAACACGTGCACACGTCGGCCCGAGGTCGAAGGAGGCTGGTATGAGTCAGTCACGGCTGCCGAGCTGTCGACGCTGGTGGGGGGCACTGCGTGAGGCTTGCGCGGCAACGCACTTGAGGTTGCCGATGCTGAACTGCCTGTGCCGTTGACAGCATGTGTCGCGAACGGCCTTTCACCCTCACCGTCTGCGGTGTGTGCCGCAACATCAAAGGACGGATTTTCTGCAAACCCATGCGCGTGCTGGGCCTGCGCCGTGACATCCACGCGTGTGCTTGTCGCGTCACTATCCGGCTTGTTCGTGCTTGGGCAAGGGTTGTCGCTGTCCACCAAAGTCGCCGCGCTGCTCTTCTCCGGTGTGGCGTGGTCCTCAAGTGATTTGTTCACCGAGTTCCTCCTGCTGCGGATGCTTTGACGCCGATGCATGTGGCTAATCTGAGTCCTGCGTGTCCAGCGTGTCCATACGGTCAGGAACAGAGATAGGAAGAGCGCCGTGCCGAGCAACGGGATTGACAAAATAACGGCAAAGATGTGGGAGCTGGTGTCGATCCAGTCGCCAACGCGCCGTTGCTCGAACGGACGCGGCCAGTGTGCCGGCGGTATGCCTTTGAAAGGGGTTTCTGTTCCGGCTGGGCAGATGTAGTCTGCGGAAATGACGTGACCACCAAGCAGAAATCCAAACGCGCCAAAGGCCAGCAGCGCGAAGAACCACTGGCAGGCAGCAATGGCTCGAGTTTTGCTGCCAGAGCCCTGCACGCTGCTTTCTGTCGTAACGGTTGACGCCTTGTGTTCCACTCGTGTTTGCCACCTGATCAGAGTCACAATGCGTGTGTGCATTTGTGGATGAGAGAGAGGGTGTGTGTGTGTGTGCGTGGGCGAGTGAGTGTGAGTGTGTTTGTGGGTGTGTTTGTGGGTGAGTGAGTGTGTGTGTGTGTGTAAGTGTGTGTGTGTGTGTGAGTGTGTGTGTGTAAGTGTGTGTGTGTGCGTGCGTGCATATGTATGCGTGCGTGCGTTCGTGAATGCGCAGCGTTGTGTGTAAGTGTGCGTTTGCGCGCGTGTGCTGCGGCGGAGAAGCAGTGAAGGGTGTAATGGAGCAGGGTGTGAGAACAGCAGCAGAACAGCGTACATACTTGCGAAAGACGTCCACGTCCTTGGCCATAATCTCGGGTGCCCTTTGAGCCAGCGGCGTGCTCGTGTCTACTTCGTCGAATCCATCCGCGCTCTCCAGGATCACTCTGTTTTGCAGCAAGCGAGTGTGTTGATGCATGAGTGGAGCCCACCACTGAATGGGCGAGGCAGGGCAAAAATCATGTGGGACGCGATCAGGACACAGTGCAGATCTTGTGTGTGATCTGTTGATGTCGATGCGGCAACGTGCGTTCATATGCCGTTGCCCTCACATCAGCACATCAGTGCATGTTCACGGAGGGTGTACAGGTGTACGCTACGCTTAACCTCTCAATGTGCAAAAGAAACAAGCGCAGTCGCATGAAACACGCACACACACACGCACATGCACATGCACACGCACACGCACACGCACACGCACATGCACATGCACACGCACACGCACACGCACACGCACACGCACACACGCACACGCACACGCACACGCACACAACCCCACACTCTCCTCTCCTGTACCTGTCCGAGTCTGCCTTCTTGTCTTCTGCTTGTCCGGTGCGTGGGGTTTGAGCCCTTTCCTCGTCTGCAGCGAAGGTGGGTTCTCCATCAGACGTGTCTGAGTCGAAGCCAAAGCCGCTCTCCACAATCTCGGGCAGGCCTGGGCCTGTGGTTGTCTCGCCATCGAGGGGTCCACCATCGTCGCTTGTCAACTTGATGGAAGCTTTGCGGCCTCTCATAGCTCCATTGCCATCATCAGCAGGGCGACCAAGAACCCCTTCCCACACCGCTGTTGGCGTGTTGCTCTTGGGGTTGGCGCTCATGCTTTGCCTTCTTGCTTGTTGTTTGCGTGTCTCTCTCTGGCTTGGCTGGTGCGTCTCGCTCGTGTGTTGTGGGGGGGGGGGTGGTAAATGCTGGGATGGACCGAGACAGTAAATTTGGTGGACACATGTGTCCCGCACGGAGCAGGAAAGTTTGCGGCATGGCTTTGCAATAATCGACTCTTTGTTGAGGTGTGACCAACTCCTTCGAACCGGGACATGCATTCGCCACCTCTTGTCAAGTCGAGTTTCACACAAAGACTCGACGAAGCAGGGGAAAAAGCAGCAAAGACTCGATCGAACAAGATGTGGCGGCAAGAAAAAGCAGTGGCAACGACAACGACGCGTGCGTGCTTTGAACACAGACACAAGAGCACACACACACACACACACACACACACACACAAACAAACAAGAACGCATACACACACACACACACACACACACACACACACAAACAAGAACGCATACACACACATACACAAACAAACAAGAACGCATACACACACACACACACACACACACACACACAAACAAGAACGCATACACACACATACACACACACACACAAGAACACATCAAATGAACCCCCCCCCCAAACGCAGTCATTGTTTGTGAGAAGTATCTTCGCCTGGCGTTCGAACGTCCAGTTCACGGTATGCGTCCAAGATCACTGTCACGGCGTCCTCGTGTAAGATCCGTGGTTCTTCGCCTGCACGCATGACAAAGCCATGCGTCGCCTTGTCCAGCAACCTGCGCACAATCTGCCGCGGCGTCCAGTAGCTCGGGGCTGTCTCAAACTGCCGCATGCCGGGGATGTTGTTGAGCACCTGCATTGCTGTTGCGTTGGTTTTTTCCAAGGGATCGTCGCTCAAACACAGCTCAACCTCGGCACTGCCGCCCGGTTTTGGACCGGTGCTGCCCAGCATGTCACAGTAGTAAGAGTCGGTGCCGCTGATGCCACCAGACAAGATGGGAACAACGGCAGCGAGGTGTCCCTGCTCCAGCAGCTCATACGCGACGATGAGCTCCAGCAAGAAGTTGTCTTGGTCACGGCCGGTGCCTCCCAGCGTTCCGAGCGATCCCCCAACGCACTCGGGCGGTGCTGCTTCTCCTTCTGCCGCCATGGATTCGGAAAGCCTCCACCAGGAGAAGATGGGCACGTACACTTTCGATGTTGTCAGCGCTTGCAGGAAGCCTTCCATCCAGTCCTCCCCGCCCTTGAGCTTGGCCACATCCAGAAACACGCGCAGGGATTGCGTCTCACTCAGGTACTCGCGGGATTGAAACGTGATGCCCGTGTAGAGAACCCCAGCAAGGTTGTCATCTGCGCCGTGCCGGTAGCTGATGAAGACGGCGAAGCCCTCGCCGTCCTTGTTGAAGCCAGGCACGAGCGCGGCGAGGATGGCGGACCCAAACGTCAAAAGGAACGTCACAGCCCACAGCGGATAAAACATATATGTCAGGGGTCCAGCCAGAAGTGGCGTAACGTTGCGCTGGGGTTTGTCCTCAAACAGTATGCTCGGTTGCGGCGAGAACACCATGGAGAAGCAGCCGCCAACAATCACCGTGTTGAGCAGGATGATGAGGCCGGTGGTGACGGACGTTGGTGAAGCGCTCAGGCGCAGAAGCCGCTGCACAGACGTGTGGCCGGCGCTCACCTCCACCAGCCACCACACAAACGTGAAGAGCAAATGGAAGGAAAGGTTGACGGTGCCCCAGAAGCGCAGACTGAGGAGGCCAAACGTGTACCGCGCATCGTCACTTATGCCACCTTTCTTCTTTGTCCATCGTGGCAAGCATGGCAGCGTTGCGTAGGCGTACGACAGCATGAAGCACCACAGGAACAGCTGCACAATCAAAATGGTTGTGCTGGAGGTCACCAGGCGCGCCAAGGCGGTGTCCCTGTCCGGGGCACTCTCAAAGTGGTATCGCTGCCGGAAGCTGACGTGCAGCTGCTGAAGCGTGCCAGCAAACGCAGTGGTGACAATGCACACACCACTCACCACAGCGATCGTGAGTAGAACCTCGGGCTGCTCATCTTCGAATGGGTACGTGCTCGCCATAAACGTGACTAAGGTGTACAGAGCACCAAGCAGGCACGCAAACAGCAGCCACTGCGGCAAGCTCGCTTTGCGCGCGTTGTCGCGGCCGGTGTACACCCACGTCATCATACTCAGGAAACCTTTTCCAAAAGCCACAGCCTTTGTGAGCGCGCGCTTCCATGCACCAGCGACCCCATTCTCCTTGTCCATGCTCAGGGACGATGTTGTTGAAGCCGCTCGACATGGAACAAGGCAGCAGCAATCACAACGCTGGCGATGGCTTGTGGGGGTTGCCATGCCTTGATTGAGCCGTTGGTGATTGGTGCTTGGGTCACTGCTCAGGTCACCTTGCAAGGGAGCGCACCGTTCGTTGCTTTTTGCCGGAGCTGGTGTGTTGGTGGGCGAGCCACTGGGTTTCCTGTCAGCTCCATCAGCTCCGTCTCCCTCTCCGGCAGTTTCACCGGCGGCAGTCTCCAAGGACGCCAAGCGTCTCCAAATGGTGATGAGCGTGGAGATGACGAGGGTCATGCCAGCCGCTGGTATCAGCGTCAAAGAGATGTACACGTGCGACGTGGTGTTGCGGAACTTGTCGTGGCGATCAGAATCATTGCTCCGGGGCGGCCGAAACGGCGTGGCAAAGTGTGGGATGGCCTTGCCGCTGTCGCTGCTGTTGAATAATGTGGAGGGGCAAACGTTGTCGACCTCAAGGATTTCACCCATTAGCGCCCAGCCACCCAGTCCACACAATACCAGCACCAACAGCAGCCACTGCGCCGACGCGAACCCTGCCTCTGCGCCGTGCTGTCGACGCTGTTTAGGCTTGCGCTTGCCTGTGGTGCAGATGGAAGAGGTCAACATAATGTTGCCTTGTCTCGTGTGGCTCCGTGTGGCTCCGTGTGTGTGTGTGTGTGTGTGTGTGTGTGTGTGTGTGTGTGTGTGTGTGTGTGTGTGTGTGTGTGTGTGTGTGTGTTTGAGAGAGGGGGGTGGGTTGCTCCTTGCTGGACAGGCTTGATTGTGTGCCAACGCGCTAACGCGTGCTGTCCGTCTTAGATAGATTAGGTGTAAAGGCGTGTACTTGTGGGAGGGAGGACAGCTGCTGCTCGGATGATGTGCGATTGGAAGAGGGAGAAGGGGGGAGTGGAGAAGGGAGTTGGCTGAGACCTAAAGGCATGCAAGACTTAGAGCAGATCCCATGAAACGGACAGTGAGTGGTGTGTGTGTGTGTGTGTGTGTGTGTGTGTGTGTGTGTGTGTGTGTGTGTTTGTGTGTGTGTGTGTGTGTGCGTGTGTGTTTGCTTCTGTGTGCGTGTTTTGCTTCTTGTGTGGCTTGCGCAGCAGCGAGCACGTCTTGCTGACATGTGGGTCGTCGAGAATCGCGGACGACCTGTCGGAAAAGTTGCCGTGTGTCTTTATGATCATCTTTGACAAAGCATTCGTCCCAGTTCGTCCCATTTCCTTGTCCTATCCTTGAAGGCGAATGCCCCAAGCATGCCGGCAAAGGTTTTGTGCTTATGGGGAGTATGGGGAGTGGTCACAACATCACACTCGGTAGTGCGGCGTGCAAATACGGCTCTTTCTTTGTTGTGGTTGTGGCCGAATCGTTGTGGGTTGCTGGTGCACACTCGCGCCTTCATCTCGCGACCAGCCAGCCAGTGAGCCAGCACGTTTGCACGCCACACGACAATCTCATCCACAACAGGACAGCCAGCAAAACAGCAACAGCAAAAACGTGAACAGGAGCAAGGAGCTAAGGAGAACCGAAGGCAGATACACAAGAAGACGACACACCACAGCACCACGCCACGACACCAAGCCATCCTCGACGAGCAGGCAAGGGCAGGCATGTCGCAGACGCAGGCCGAGGAGGACGTCAAACACGACGACGGTGAAGAGGAAGACGCATCACCAGCACACTCCACGTACGTCCTTAAGAGAGTTGTGAGGCGGGATTGCGGTGTGTCTGTGAATGGGGTTGCATTCACGTAATGAGGAAATGATATGCAAACGCGCACACACGCACACACAAGACGAAGAAGAGTTGGCGTTCTCACACCAGAGCAAGCACACACAAGAGCAAGCATTGACACACATGCACACCTTCTCGACACGATCCCACACACACATACACACAAGAGCAAGCATTGACACACATGCACACCTTCTCGACACGATCCCCCCACACTTGGCGCACACACAATATGCTGACATGCATATGTCCACACACACACACACACACACACACACACTCACTCACTCACTCACTCACTCACTCACACACACACACACACTCACACACGCACACACACACACACACACACTCACACTCACACACACACACAATTTGCACACTTGCACATTCTCGCGTACTACACAGGTCACCCTTGTGTGAGACATGCTTGGCGTTCCTCATCAGCGAAGTGAAGCAAGAGCAAGTGAGTCATAAGGACGAAGCCGACGCCGACGTAGATGACGCATCCGATCTACTGCGTGCGGCAGCGTTCTTCCAGTGGGCGCTTGTGCTCCTTGGTCTGCTGGCCATCGCACTGGTTGCGGGTGGGTTTGAGATCACCACAGACTTAGTGTGCGCCACCAACGCCACAAACGCGTCCTTTGCTGGAACGGACATCAACTTCAAGACCGTCAATGCGTCAAGGATTGCGCCATTCCATTTTGGCAAGGGCAAGGCCTTTGAACGCGAAACAACAAAGTCCGGGGACCCAAAGAGCGTCCCCTTCATCGAAACGCAGTCACACATCTACGCCTGTACACTGGTCATGTGCGTGGCGGCGACAGCGCTCGTGCTCTCCGGCGAGCTGACGTTCTGGCGGCAGCTGGCCATGTTGCGATTGGCGGCAGCAAGTGAGAGACGCAAGGAAACGAAAACCGATTCCAACGCCAATGGCGACACGGGCGCCGCCACTGCCGACACAAGTGCTGCGGTGTCTCGGCCAGCGAGCAGGCAGGGGCGCAACGGCAACACCAGCTTCGACAGTGGCATGGGTGACGCGGATGGCACAGGCCCAGGACCAACAGCATGCACGTGTGGCAGGCGCTTGAGCGCTCTTGCTGCTCGACACAATGGAAGACGGCGCAGGGGGAGCAAAGGCCGACAAAGCATCAGCACGGACGAGGCGCACAGGGGTAGTGCCAGTGCCAACAGTGCCTTCACGTTACCTGGCCTTGTCAGGCATCCGTCCTCCAGCACCGCAAGCCCCATTAACCGCAACAGCGTGGTGTCGCCACAACCCAGCTTTGATGACCAAGTGCCGCTCAGCGATCCAGCTTCGAGCACGCCGCACCCTGACCTCCCCGCTACAGAGGACGAAGGGTCAGAGGGAAGGGAAGCGCAGCAGAAACGTTGGCGCCGGAGCCTTACAAAGAGCGACGTCCCCCGCGTGCTCTGGGCGGCGTGGTGGCTGTTGCGCGCTTGGACGTGGGTTGGGTTTTCCTCGGCGAGCGGCAAGCGCGCGACGCTGCCACAGTGGCTGCTCTTCGCCACCACCTTCACCTCCCTCTACATGCTCACAGGCGTGGCTGTGAAGAACGCCATCGGCCTTGGTGTCTTGCAATACCTGATCCCGCCGGGCGTGGCGCTCATCGGCCTTGCTCTGGGATCACTGTTGCAGCACTTGCAGCGGCTGCTGGTCGCCCGTTTTCGCCATGCGCACAAGGACACATCGGAGAAGATGTTCGTGCACATGATCTCGGTTGGCGGCTCCATCCTTCTGGCGCAGGTGTTCCTGTTTTGCTTTCTTGTGGCGTACGCCTACAGCACGACGCCCTGCTTTCCCAGATGGAACGCGCCAATCTATAGGGGCGACGCACAATTTGTGTCCAGCCTGCTGTACCAGCGCTTCTGGGGCACCATGGATCTTGCGCTCCACTTGACGTTTCTCAATGTGTGGTGGCTGATGGAGGTGTGCATGGGCCGCATGTCGGTCTCCCGTCTGCTGCGGCTCAAGCAGTCACGCGTGTCCACGTTCTGCTGCCTCTTGGTTGTGCTTGCCTCGGCGGCGGCCGTGGCAAACTTCTCCAATGTGTTTGCCGAGCAGCCCGCCCTATTCCTGTTTGACGACGGACTCAACTACTTCCCGCCCAGCCTCACGTTTGCGCTATCGATTGCTGTGTTTGTGTTGTGGGGCCTTGTGTTCCTCACCCTCATGGCGGCCACGATTCACCAGCGCTTGGGATTGGTGAAAGAGCCCGTCATCGGCTACATCCTCATCAGCTATGTGGAAGAGGACGCACCACTCGCCAACCGCTTGCTGGAGCAGCTGCAGAGCGTGTGTCGTGACAAGTTTCCCCACGAGCAGGTGATTCCGCTGCGCTTCTCCGCGCGGGATATCAAGCTGCTGGCGGCATCGCTCCATAGTACTCACCACGGCGCGCACCACACCAGCGTTGCGGCCGCCGACGCCGCCGATGCCCCCGACGGCGGTGAAGAGGCTGCCCGTCGCGCGGCAGAGCTGCGGCAAATCCTGGAGCAGGACGGCGTGACACGCATCTTTGTCCCACTGCTCACGTGGCACCGTGACGGCGGAGGTGGCTCTGTGCAGCGCCTCTGCAGCAGCACCAGCGGCCGCGGCGACGACTTTTTCCTGGAGCTCGTGCTTGCGCAAGTGCTGCTGGATCTGGGCGTGTTACAGTCCACGTATTCCATTCTGAGTGGGGGACTACCAGACGGCTCTGTGTACTACGACTCTTTCTTCAGCCACTACAGGCCATCTCAATTGGCATCGGCGGTGCCCTTGCTGATCCAGGGCTTGGTGCCGGCGCTTCAGAGGCACTTCTCCGCCACGAGCAACAGCAGCGAGGCCACAATGAGCTTCTCGCAGCTCGTCAAGTCCGCCCACTCACAGGCGTGGAGTATGTCGCCAAGCAAATACTCTCCCCAGGCCCTGTTGACAGGCATGCTGCAGCTGCAGGCCTTCCTCATCAGCGAGCATGGTGTTCCCGAACGCGCAGACGCCAAAGCCATGGAGAGCATTTCCGATGTGTTTGTTACTGTGCATGCTGACAGAGCTGCAAACGCTTCTCACTCGTAAATTGGCTGGGTGTGTAGGGAGGGGTGTTAGTGTGTTGGGAGAGGTGTTAGTGTGTTTGTGTGTGTGTGTGTGTGTGTGTGTGTGTGTGTGTGTGTGTGTGTGTGTGTGTGTGTTTTGTGTTTGTGTGTGTGTGTGTGTGTGTGTGTGTGTGTGGGTGGGTGTGTGTGTGTGGGTGTGTGTGTGTGTGGGTGGGTGTGTGAGTGTACTCGTGTGTATGTGTGCGTGTTTGTGTGTGTGCGTGTTTGTGTTTGGGTGTACACGTTTGTGTTTGAGCGAGGAGTATGCTTGTGAATTGTGTTGCGTGTCAACTGAAGAGCTGTATCTCCAACAGAACACCTTTGCTTGCTTGCTAGTCACTTCTAGCTATTCTGTGTTGGCTGTTTACGTTAAACACGATGGATGCGTGCTGAGGGGAGGAGGAAAGAAAGCGGCAGGTTGCACCACCACCGTGGCAGCGCGATACCAACACTGCACCAACCAAACGCTGCATCACATCACCCTTGTTGTTGCACCAACAAAACCTTCCTACCACCGCTTTGCAGTAGTGCAGTGGGCCACGAAGACAAAACAAACGGAGACACACAAAGGGATCGTGACCAGCATTCCACACTGCCAACACAAGCAACACAGTCTTTGTCGTCGTGTTGTTGTGTCAATGCCACAACGAAACGTGTTCCCTTTGTCTTCGGCTCGTCACAGTTCGTGTCCCTTTGTTTGGCAGGCAGACGAAGGTCTGGGTGTGGCGGGACAGGCCTGCCCACTGGGTCATTTGGCCCGTTTTGCGACGATTGCAAAGCCACGTGGCAAAGTTTCGTCGTAGGGGGTGTCGAAATGTGCACAGTGCCACACCAAAGTCAAAGTGACTGTGAAAGGACAAAACAACGCGTTCTCGACGACGGAGCGTGGGCCATGATGAACTTCACTGAATGTGGCTGCGAACAAGCGACAAGCGACGATCGTGTACTCAAAGAGAAAGAAGGACATGGCCACGCTGCACCAGCCAGCAAACAAGCTACAACAAGAACACCAACGAAACAACAAGACGCAACACAAACAAGCAACAAACAAGCAACAAACAACCACACAACAAACATGTCATTTATTCCGTCTCCCGTCAACAGGCAAACCACTCAGATCACAGCTCACAACTGCAAGACCACGACCAGCGAGACACGATGGATCCCATCACCATTGGCATTCTTTACTCTGGGTACAAGCTGATCAAAAAATGTCGTCAAATTGATCAACTGGGAAAGCTGGCGGAGGAGGCCAAGACACTACGCGATTCGATCAAGAACGCTCCAAGGACCCGCGCCAAGCTGGATACCCTCATCCACAATGCGGAGTTACGAAAGCAAAAACAGGTAAGACTGGCGTGTTTCTTGTACTCCTTCGTGCTTGCTGGGTTGTTTGCGGTTCATTGCTCCCCGCTACTCGTCCAGCTATCGAGCCGTCTATGTACATGTTCACCCTGTTGTTGCGACTTAATCTCATGACGTTTTGTGGGTTTGTGTTCGGTCCTCAGCAAAACGGCCTTGTGCTCCAAGTTACACTTTCTGTCTGCGGAGCGGACCTGCTCGAGGACTTTGCGGACGCCTTTGAGATTTTGCTCGACGAGCTTGACGAGGCTGACGGCGACTGCGGCGCCATGGATGGCTACGACGAGGAACAGGATGAAAAGGAGAAGGACGAGGAACAGAAGGAGCGCAAGGAGCTGCGGAAGCGACTGAAGGAGCTGGAAGAGCGCTACAGGAAGATTGCTGGAAGGCAGCGCAAGCAGAGCCAGAAGAAGCAGAAGAAACTGAAGCAGTGAGCGCAGGGTGCCAGCAGCAGATGCGTGTTGCAGGCGATGGTGTTTGACGGCTTGCCTGCCAAGCTATGCTCAGCATGCTGCTTCAGTGCTTCCTTCTTCAATTTTGTTGTGAGGATGCCGTTCTGATGTGACATCATGAGTTGGTTTTTTTCTTCTTGCTTCTCAAAGTCCTTCTTGTCAATGTTGTTTGCTTTGTGACTTGCTTTGGAACCTTGGGAGAGGAAGGACGAGGCGATGAGGAAGAGTGTCCGCCCTGCTTGTGAGCCAATACAACAAAGCCTTCAAAACACAAGCAGTAAACATTCGCCTTCTCGTGCTTGCGCTGTGGTTTTAGGGTTTTGAACAGCACAGCGGGCCCTCAAACTAGCAAACTGCAGGAGCACTTTATAAACTGGCTGAGTGTGCTGTGAATGAACTTTTACATGTTGAGATCCCCTTGGAGAAGCAGACGAGGACGAGCGTGGCAGACAAGATAGGATACTCAGATAGGATCTCAAGATCGATAGGAGTAGGGATACGGGAGGGGACAAGAAGAGAACAACAAGGAAAGGCACGCCAAAGGACATCCAGCCCTTTTTTTTGTTTCGATCATCACTGGCGAAGGTTACGAATGCTGCCCACAAATCTTCCAAACTTTAACACACACAGACACACACACACACACATACATACTCACACACACACACTCACACAAACACACACAAACGCACACACGCACACACACACACACAAACGCACACACACACACACACGCACACACACACACACAGACACACACACAAACACAAGCAACCCCCCCCCCCCGCCTCACACACACGCCAAACCATGTCATGCTCACACCTAGCGCACCTCGTCTGGTTGAGTTTGTCGGTGCTGGCTTTGCTCGGACACCACCAGTATGCTCACGACCTTGTGCGCGTGCGTGGCTGCAACGCGGAGGCGGTGTTGAAGGAAGACAACACAGGCGCGTTCCACATCAACACGAGCGACCCAGCGACCCAGCCGGTACTGGTGAACGGAATGAACGTGGACGACTTGTTTGAGACGGTGGCTGCGCAGGAGAGCATGCTGCACGCGTACCAGGCAAAGGTGCAGGCGCAGCGCAGCACGATCAGCGCGCAACAGAGCATGCTGAGTGCACAGCAAGGAAGGATTGACGCCCTTCGCGCCGAAGTGTGCAAGCCTAGCGCGAGCACGTTCGGTGACCTGAGCACCTCGCCATATAGCGCATGGGCTGGCGGCGCGCTGGCCAAAAATGGGCTGATCTACGCCGCCCCGTACAACTCGCCCGCTGTCCTCATCATCGATACGAACACAAACACAATCGACGTGACAACCATCCCCAATCTTGGGTCGGCCAGGGGCAAGTGGGCCGGCGGCGTGCTGGCGCACAACGGCCTCATTTACATGTTTCCAGCAAACATGGCGACGGCGCTCATCATCGATCCGGAGACCAACACGACAGACACCACAAGCATCAGCTCGCTTGGCTTCGGCCAGTACAAGTGGTTTAGTGGCGTGGTGGCTGACAACGACCTCATCTTCGGCGTTCCCTTGCACGCAACCTGTGTGCTCATCATCGATCCGGAGACCAACACGGCGGACATCACCACGCTGGCGGGGCTGTCCGAGCAGGGGGAGAAGTGGCATGACGGCGTTCAGGCACCCAGCGGCCTCATCTACTGCCTGCCAAGAGCGGCGGATTCCGTGCTGATCATCGATCCATACACGCTGACCATGGGCCTCCGTCCGCTGGCGGGCGTCGGCTCTGGCCTGAAATGGCTTGGCGGCTTGCTTGCAAGCAACGGGCTCATCTACGCCCTGCCGGATCGTGCTGCGACCACGCTCGTCATTGACCCAGCCACCAACGCCACCGATTTGCTGAGCATCTCCGAGGAGACCTCCTCGGACAAGTGGGCTGGAGGGGTGCTGGCTCCCAACGGCAACATCGTTGGCATCCCATTCACCTCACCCTCCGTGTACTTTTTCAATCCAACCACCAACGCCACAGACACCACAAGCATTCAGGCTCTTGCCGGGTCTGGCAAGTGGCACGATGGCGCGCTTGCGAACAACGGCCTGATTTACGCCATTCCCCGTTCAGCTGATGCGGTGCTCGTCATCGACCCAAGCTGTTGAGGGGTCGTGACGTGTGTATGTGTATCTGTGTGTGTATCTGTGTGTGTGTGTGTGTGTGTGTGTGTGTGTGTGTGTGTGTGTGTGTGTGTGTGTGTGTGTGTGTGTGTTTGTGTTTGGCGTGCATACCACATACGAGCACACAGTCTCTGTCCATCGATCTGTCTATTACACACACACAGACACACACACACCCCCTCCTCTCTCTCTCTCTCTCTCTCTCTCTCTCTCTCTCGGCCGTTTCTTGCGTACATACTCCGGTCAGCATATATGGGTGCAATGCAAGACGCTCAATGATGGGGTATGTTGAACCGGGTGAGGAATGGGGAGCGTGTATGCGACTCACAGCAGCAGCTAACGGCTGGCAAGGTAAAACGTAAATAAAGAAAAGAGCGCAGCGAAACGCAAGTGCCTTCTGACACTGTCATCACACAACACAAGACAACACACCCGCAAAGGACTGTACACACATACACACAATCACACACACACACAATGCACACACATACACACACACACATACACACAATGCACACACATACACACAATGCACACACATACACACACAATGCACGCACATACACACACACACACAATGCACACACACATACACACACAATGCACGCACATTCACAAGCACACATACACACAAGCACACACATACAAACACAATGCATACACACACAAATGCATGCACACACAAAATGCACACACGCACACACACACAAAATGCACACGCACACGCACACACACACACAAAATGCACACACGCACACACACACGTGTCTGGCTCCTCAACAGCCCACATCGATGATGAGGGCATTTCTAGAGTCGAAAGGAATGCCGTAGATGAGGCCAGTGTCGGAAAGCACACCGTCCCACCACTTGTCAGTGCCAACAGAGGCAGAAAGCGATGTGGCTTCTGCAGTAGCCTTAGTGGGATCGATGACGAGCACGGACTCGTGGTTGTCGGGAATGCCGTAGATGAGGCCATTGCGTGCCAGCACACCGCCACGCCACTTAAAATTGGGGGTTGGCAGCCCGGCGATGGAGGTCGTGTCTGTGGCATTGAGCCTTGGGTCGATGATGAGCACGGACGTCTCGCTCAAGGGAATGCCATAGATGAGGCCGTTGCCTGCAAGCACGGCACCGATCCACTTGTTCTGGCCCATTAGGCCAGCCATGGATGAGGTGTCGGTCGTGTGTGACGACGGATCGATGATGAGCACCGCCTCAGCATCGCGTGGCACGCAGTAGATGAGGCCATTGCCGGCCTGCGCGCCGCCAGACCACTTGTTGCCGATTGCAGCCAGGCTTCCCATCGTGGTCGCGTCGGTGCTGTTCGTGGCAGGATCGATGACCAGGACAGAAGTTGCGCCCCAGGGAATGCCGTAGATGAGACCGTTGTCGGCAGCCACGCCACTCAGCCACTTCGCTCCACCAGACGACAGGGTGCCAAGGCTGCTTCCGTCAGCCGTGTTCGTTGCCGGGTCAATGACAAGCACGGCGTCAGCATTGACCGGAAACCCGTAGATGCGCCCGTTGCTGCCGAGCACGCCCCCGCTCCATTTGGCGCCGCCGTCTCCCAGACCAGTGATGGAGGTGGTATCATCGGTGTTGGTCAGTGGGTCGATGATGAGGACAGTTGTGGAGCCCAGCGGGATGCCGTAGATGAGGCCATTCCCCGCAAGCACGCCTCCGCGCCAGTCGTTGCTTCCACTCCCAACGTTGGCGATGGTGGTGGTGTCCGTGGAAGGGGAGACGGGAAAGCGATAGCAAAACACCACCGCCTGGGCCTCAAGCTCACGCTCAAGTGCCCGATTTCTGACCCGCTGCGCTTCGATTTCGCTTGCCTGAGCGTGTAGCTGGCTGGCTTGCATGTCGTTCACCCGCTGTTGGGCCTGCACCATGTCGAACATCTTGCCCACATCAGCCCCGTTCACGAAGACGGGCTCGTTCCTCGGGTCACTCGTGTTAATGTGCAGTGCACCAAGCGCGTCATGCTCCAGCACCACCTCTCCAAAGCACACGCTGCCGCTACCGCTGCCGTCCCAATGGCACGGCATCACTACAGCCACCACCACCAACACCACCCCAAGAACAACAACAGCAGCTGCTTCAGCTAGAGTTGCAACAAGTCGCGCCGCCATCTTTGCTGTCGTTGTTGTGAAAAGTGGGCGTTCTATTCAGCACTTTTCCGCAACCAGCGCCGTTCATCATCCCAATCACCACGCTCAACACACACACACGCACACACACACACACACACGCACTCACACACACACACACACACACACACACACACACACACACACACACACACACACACACACACACTATGGCAGGTGTCGCAGTTGGTGTCGCTGGTGTTAGTGTGTTTTACCTGGGGCTGCTGTGCCTTGTCAGCGGAGACGCCATCATGCAAGAGGACGGTGCGGGAAACCTGCACATCAACACGAGCGATCCCATGGGCCAGAGCGTGTTTGTCAACGGCGTGGACGTGACGCGGAGGTACCACCAGCTCCAGGAGCGACAGCGCGTGCTGGAGCGGCGCCTGTGCCGCTTGCAGACGCCGCCCATCGCCTGGACGCAGCCAGGAAACGGCATCTTAAATCTCAACGCGAAGTGGCAGGGCGGCGTGCGCGTGGTGCTGCCATCGGACGGCGAGGCCACAGAGCTGGTGATTGGCGTTCCATTCCACGCGCCCTCGTTCCTGATCATCAACGCAGGCACTGGCGTGGCGGAGACCGTGCCCATCTCCGGGCTCGCAAGCAGCGGTGGCATGTGGCTGGATGGCGTCCTCGCACCCAACGGCCTCGTCTTTAGCTTCCCCTTCAACGCGGACGCCGTCCTGATCATCAACCCACACACAAACGACACAGACATGACCAGCGTGACGTTCGAGAGTATACCGGGCGATGACGCTGCTCGCTGGGGCGGCGGCGTTGTCACGGGCGACGGGCTCATCTACGCCCCGCCGTACTCCGCCTCGTCCGTGCTGATCATCGACCCGCGCACCAACGCCACGGACGCCACGACCATCGCGGGCCTGGGCACGGAGGATGCCAAGTGGCGCGGCGCACACCTCGCCAGCAACGACAAGATCTACTGCGTGCCCCGCGATGCCGCCGGTGTCCTCATCATCAACCCGGCGACCAATACCACGGACACGACCGCGATTGGCGTCCCCAGCGGCAACGCAAAGTGGGTTGGCAGCGTGCTTGCAGGCAACGGCAAGATCTACGGCATCCCACAATCCGCCCGCTCTGTCCTCATCGTGGACCCCGCCACCAACACCACCGACACGACGACCATGCAAGGCCTGCCTGCAGGCACGAGCAAGTGGTCCGGGGCCGCCGCCGCCGCCGCCGCAGACGGCCGCATCTTCGCCATGCCGTACAGTGCCACGTCCGTGCTCATCATCGACCCCGACACAGACACGTACGACACCACCACCATCGTCCAGCTGTCCTCGGACACGTTCAAGTGGACCATTGGCGTACCGACAAGCAACGGCTTCATCTACGGCATTCCCAGCCACTCCACATCCATCCTCGTGATCCAGCCCAGATGCTCGTAGCCAATAGCGGAAGGGGAGGGTGTGCGTGTGCGTGTGTGGTGAAGGGGTGTGTGTGTGTGTGTGTGTGTGTGTGTGTGTGTGTGTGTGTGTGTGCGTGCGTATGTGTGTGTGCGTATGTTCTGAGTTGGTTGTAATGTGACATGATGTGACTTTGTTTTGTTGCGTGTTCTATGAAGGACGCGAACGGCACCAAATCCACAGAAATGACACAAGACAGAAATGCCAGGGAAGATGTTCAAATCAATTCAAAGCAAGTTATGAACGACCATGACTCTCGCACACACACACACACACACATGCAACCAAGCAAGAAAGACAGAAAGAACGAAAGAAAGAAAGAAAGAAAGAGATGCAAACCGCATTCAATCCATGCCCACACGTGCTTCCTCCTCACTTCCTCCTTCTTCGTCATGTCTTCAGATGGCCGACTCTTCGTACGCTTTCAGCACTCCTGCAGCTGCAGTATTGGCGGCTGTAACCTCACCAAGGTTGTGCATGAAAGTGCCCTGCAGCTGAAGCATTCTGTGCATGAGGTTCCTGGGGGACCACTCTCTGAGTAATTCAACAACAGTCACGTCAAACTTGGCGCCTTCTTTTCCATACAAGCGCTTGAGGATATTGGCTGCTGCCTGCGCTGTTGGTTCCGGTGTTGTGTCAGGCAAATCGTTCTCAGGACTCTTGAAGGCAATTCGTGTGCTGCCATCTCGGGCGTCGAAGATGGGGTAGATGGTGATGTCATCGCGCTTCTCCATTTCATAAGCAATGATGAGCTGCAGCAGAAACATGTTGACATCTCCGTCATTGCTGTTTGCTCTGGCTTCCGCGTCGTCGTTGTCATTTAGCATGCGTCCGACCGAGCCAAAAGGCGGTTCGTTGTGACAGGATATCACGACGACAAGGACGCGAGTATTGTTCAGCTGGTCTGCCCGTTGAAGGTCGCCGTCACTGGGCTCATCAGAGTCTGTGGAAGGTGTGGCGCATGCGGGGTACGCCTCATGATCCACATTATGTTGGACAACCTCCACACTGTTAGCCTGGCCCAAGAAGCGCGGGCTCTTGTTCTTGATCTCCTTGGCAATGTAGGTTGCGAGCTCCCCGTCCTCGCTGCGGTAAAGCATGCAGATGGTTTCGTTTTGTTCGTTCTGTACAAAGTACTTCTGTACCCTGGCAGACACGTCCTTCAGTCCCATGAGGGAGAAGCAAAGAAACCAGAGGCCGAAGAAGATGTACGCGAGGGTGAGAGTGATCTTCGGTGTCACGTACTGAGCAGGCTGCTTCACAAAGAAGATGCTCTCTTGCGAGGAGAAGACACCCGCATACGTCGACACGCCAACGAAGGTGGCAACAACGACGAGTACGTTGACGACGATAGCCAGAGCGCCACCGCGGAACTGCACCATGCGCACAACGCTGGCACCTCCCGCAGCAAACTCCAGAATCCACCACATGTAGGCAAACAGGAGTTCGCAGGACATGATGAAGCAGCCAATGTAGCGGAGAAAGAGGCGCTTCGACAGATAGGCCACGTCGGGGCGGGATGTGCCCCCTTCACGCAGGGGAAGACAGGGAAGTGTCGCATACGCAAAGGCCACAAAGAAGGCCCAGAGGAAGAACTGGGCCAGAAGCGTAGCGCCGCCAACTGCTGTCACCGTTGCCATCACCGCTTGTACCTGTTTCTCAGAGCCGTATTTGTAGCGAGTGTCGACGTGCAATTGGATGCTGTGCAAGACATTGACAAAGGCAAGCAGGAGGAAGGGCGATGCCACGGCTTGGGCGTAGCGGGCTGCAACTTCGCCATCATGTGTGTACACGTAGAGCACGAGGGAGAAGCAAGCTGCCCCTGCGCCAACGAAGTAGCAGAACCACTGTGACCTGCTTGCTCGACGAGGGTCTGGCCGTTCGTAGCCGACCCACAGCAGCGTTCGCACAAACCAAAGCAGCCCAGAAACCAGCCACCGCAGTTTGCTTCGAGCGCGGTTGGTTTCTGTGGAGTCACCAGACGGCGACGCGCCGTCAGTGGCAAGGCTTCTGGAGTCGTCTTGTTTGGTTGGTAGCTGCACGTTGACATTGTCTCCCCCAAAGCTGTTGGCAGGGCTTGAGACGCCCTCTTGTTCTTCCTTCCTGTGCTCCAGCCGCTTAATAGCGTTGTGTAACCGATTTCTCCACGGTGTTAGCACGGAGGACAGCAGAAGAGCAACGCCAATTACGGGGACACTGAGAACGCACGTGAACACGTGTGAATCCGTGTGAATGAGGCGGATGTTGTGCAGGGGCGTAAACGGATCGGGGATGCGTGCTGGCGGTGTCCCGTTGCTCACGCCTGCGGGCAGGCTCTTGGGACAGGCAAACTGTGTTTCATATAGATACCCGGTCACAAGGCCTGCAACCGCAAGGGCGCTGCAAGCGAACAACCCCTGCTGCACGTATCTGACGCCTTGGCGGCTTCCGCGTGCACGATCCAGCCGACGGTCGATCCTGGATGTTGTACCGAGATGTCGGTAGTGTAAGTAGTGTAATGTGAAAGTAGACAAGACGAGAGGTGAATGAATCAAACAAACATCAAGTGAACAAACAACAAGTGAGACAGGTGAACAACAAGTGAGACAGGTGAACAACAAGTACACGTGGCAGCCATCTTGCATGCGTGCAAGTTGATGTAAGATTGCATGCATGCAAGTGGTTGGGTATGTTGTGTGAAAGCTGAGTCAGCATTTCACACAACACTCTCCCCCTGCGTAAATTGCTGCTTGTAGTTCGCAAGCAGCAGTCGTGCATCCTTGCCCAGGAGGTTGTCTGGATGCTCGTACGTATTCTCGGTGCTGGGGTACCCCTTCCATTTGCAAAGGTATTGAGTGCCGCGCCGTGTAGTTCGATGCCCCTGAATGCTCTCGAGCTCGTAGACGTCACTGCCATGCAAAGGCGGTGGACGAGACACATCGCGTGGCAGGCGTGTGGGTTTCTTCAGGTGTTTGATGTTGACGGTCGGGTGGATGTGGACGCCAGGCGGTAGTTGCAGAGTAACGTGTGCCGGACCCAGCACACGCTTGATCTTCACAGGACCCAGGAAACGCGGACGAAGCTTCCGCTTTTTGTTTCGGTGCTGGTCGTCGAGGAGGAGCTCAGATGAGACATACACGTCTTCCCCTTCAGCAAAAGGCGTAGCTGTTGCTGTCTGGGATGACGTCGTCACTGCATTCTGGTACTGGAGCATGTCACGGCATCTCTGCACCGTCGCGTTGATGCTGTCGATGAGATCCTCCGCTACAGGAGACAAGAAGTCGACGTCAACTGGAAACAGCGACGGCGTGAATCCTTGTGTGGCCTGAAAGGGCGGCACCTTTGTCACGGCGTGTGGACTGCTATTGATGCAGAATTCAACCAGTGGGAGTAGGTCTGGCCATGGACGCAGGTTGTCAGCCACAAGGCAACGAAGTAGTGTGGTAACGGACTGAACACTCCTTTCCGACTGGCCGTCCGTTTGCGGATGTGAGGCTGTGGAGAAGGAGAGTTTGATGCCGAGAGCTTTGGCGACCTCCTTGTAGACCTTGCTGACAAAGCGTGGGTCTCTGTCCGAGATCATTCTGCATGGTGTTCCGTGGTGACGCACCACAGTGTCAACAAGCAGCCGTGCCGCCCCAGCAGCATCGAGCGTCTTCGAACAGGGCGCGAGGTGGACAG